TCCCGGACTTTTTCTGCAATTAATAGCTCTAGAAGAAATTCCTATGGCAACTCGGCTGAGAAGTGTTCACTCGTACTTTTTATGCGCCGGATGCAGTTTATTAGTGCAAAGTGCTCGTAGACGTTGTTGCTAATAGACCGTGGACGTCTGCACGAGTCCCAGCTTTTAGAAACGAATTTATGGAAACGATCTTCTTTGCGACGAGTTCAAATACACTCGAAATTCTCGAGTCGCAGAGGGAAATCTTTATACTCATTGTACTTTAGTTGTTAATTAGAACCGAATATTTTCTGGGAACACAAGGGACTTGCACAGTCGTGTTTTCTCTGATGTTTTCGGCGATAATAAGATCTGATAATAAGATTTATACTCGTATTTCAATTGTTAATTAGAATACACAGCACTTCTGAGATTTATAGACACGGTTATTAATTGACGGTGGCTATATATAATAGATTCGTATCCACAATGGCAGCTAGGATATTACTGCTCCAAGACGGCGCAGTAATACTATCGCTAATCAGAATTCTAGCTTTAGATCCCGAGTAAATGTCTCAAAGCAAACTGCACACGGATTTCACGCCAATAAATAATAGTGTTGATTACACTAAAGCACAGAGACAACAGGAACTTCCAAGACGGCGAACCCGATATTCACGAGTTTACCTTTGAATTCGCTGGGATTGAAGAGTTCTCTTTTATCATAGTTCTACGGAGTATCGTAAAGCCGACGGTGCAAGACAAAAGAGGTGAATCTCCATGAAAATGTAGATCGAAAATATGAAATAAGTGCGTATAACATACAAAGCTTCCCAATTCAGTTTTCTTCAATAGAAAACTAAGTTATCCAACACTCCATTCTCGGTTTATTATTCTTTTACGTGTAGATTTCTCCTTTGAAGGATTGTACCGACTTTTCCTGTCCGTATTTCCCATTGTTATTCAATGTTCCACGTACCTTATGTTACCGTAATTTATATATTAACCCTTTGCACTCCATAGGCTCCTCTCAGCCAGATAGAAAAATTATGGAGTTTAATATTTAATGTTAAGTTTCGTACGATGCAGTAGTAAATGAAATATTAAAATAAAACAGCCTCTTCCTTCAATTTATATACGATTTCTCGTGAAGCCAGTTTCAAGAAATGTTAACTATATTTCATCGGAAAGTGTTGGGTATTTTTGGAAAACTCTTTAACCCTTTAACCCTTTGCACTCCAAAGGTGCCACTCAGTCACTCGATTGGTGCATCAAAATTGTAAAATTCCGTATTTAACATTAAGTCTTGAGTAATCTGTCGGTACGTGTAATGGGGAAATAAAATACCATTGTTTCCTATACTGTGAATAGATTCCTCGTTAAGTTAGTTGAAAAAATGTCATCTACATCTCATAGAAATAAATTGAATATTTCTAGTGACAAATTTTTGGAGTGCCAAGGGTTAAATATATATAATGATACCGAGTAAAAATGAACTGGATAAACAATTCCACACAGCTGTCACCGATAATAATTTTCCCCTGTTTTTCGATGTCCACGGATCCGAGAGTGCCGTATCAAAAATGTGAATCTTTTCTCGCGATATGAATCGCGTCGTGTCCCTACATTATTCCTTTTTTATCCCGACATCTGTTATTGTCGTGTCCCATTGTGTTCCCGCGGGGACGAACAATTTCTGCGGGCCCGGTATTGTCAACCGCGTCGACGTTAAACAACAAAAAGGAATAAATTTTATTTCCGACCGCCGTTCTAATTTCGGGGGTTACAAATAACTTTCCGACGACAAATGGAATAATGAGAGCTACGGTCGGCGATTTTCCTAGGCTAAAAGCACCGCAGACTTTCTCGTTGCCATTTGCACCAACACTTTTGCCCCTCGACGCGCGCGCACGTACACACAACACATATACACACACACACTCGTACGACGTGACTTCCCGCAGTGGCTACATGTACACGCAATTTGCCGACTGATGTAAATGTTTCAAACTAATATTACGTTAGGTTGCAATCTGCGAGCGCAGACGGATGAAGTAATTCTGTTTCTCTTTTTTACGGTGTCTTTGTCGCTGGTTTTGTATTAACACCGACCGTTCCGCAATGTTTTCGGTGTAAGTTGTTTTTGAGACAGCGGAGAGCCTCGAGTGAAACAGTGGCGAGATTTATTCTGCTACGAGAGGATGCACTGAAGTGATGTTCGTCGGTTTTGGTGAAACTTTTGTGGAAAGTTACTTTTTTTTATTGGTTACCATTTCTGTTGAAGGGTCTAGCGACATCTTTGAAATAGGAAAAAAGGGGTGAGCGTATTTTTGTTTAGAAGGAGTTCAATTCTGTTAGGAAATTAGAGAATCCATTCGTTTAAATAATACGGTATAGATATTTCATCGTCTTTGCCAAACATTCATTCTTTTTCCTCAACGATCGATGTTAATTCATACTTTGAAACGAGGCATTATTCGTCTTTACCCGATGAATAATTTCGTTAATTAAGAATGAATTATTTGCATTATTACTGGTAACATTTAATTCCACAGGAAAACGACGAACGCACTACGTACTTGTATATTCTCATTTCACTTCCGACTTATGCAATACTTTCATGGGCTCGTCGTCACGTGCCGGAATTTAATTCGTTCCACTTTAACGAACGTTAATTAAATTTCGATTGCATTATGTTGCCTCGGGCTTAACTTACCTTCGCATGTTTTGCATCGGCTCCGTTCTTGCCGTTTCGTCGTCGGGGATTATTAAAATTTTTTCCCTCCCCACGGAATCAAATTTCCCTTAATCGCCGTGAAAGGTTTTACACAATAAATCTCGACCAGTTTTTCCTGGTGTAGCGGGGTAGTTCTTGCGCACTGCAGTGGCAATTAAATGTCTCTGAAGTGAGCGAAGTATGGGAACAAAATGGTAGGCGTTATTCCTGATAAATTTCTTATGGAAAATATAAATCATCGCGTGGATGATATAATTATAATCCTCGTCAGCCGAATAGACTTACGATCCACTTCTCTTTGCAGCTCGAAATTCGAATTTAATGAATATATATTACGAATTTATTTACCAATACGTATGAATTGTATGTAAATACTACGAGATATTCTCAAAATAATTAAATGCTTCAGTTATTTTTCATCTGTCTATCGTTGGCCAGATTTACAGAGCGTGTTTCCAACGAACGGTGAATATTTTATTCTCTCGTAATCCAGCTGGTTTTGTTTAAGTACTAAAACACGGCATTTTTGTCATTCGGAAGCTCATTTTTTTTGGGAATTCGCATGTTGCGTGCTTTCGCCGGAAATACATTGTAAAGTGTTGCAAACACGGCGATCAATGCAAATGTTCGAATAAAAAACGTTGTGTAAAGGGGGATGCAGCGAAGTGAAATGAGAATTTTACAGTTTCAAAGACACGATTGTGAATGGCGTACATGTACACCACCCTCTCGAAACCTCGTATTTTTCTAACAAATGGGTCCTGCAAATGTATTCTGCGAAGAGTTACACGGCAGGTAACAACGTAATATATGGAAGGTTTGTTAACTTCATGCCAAAACCCGGAAAGAAATTCATTTACTCGAACAATTCATATTTTACATTTGTCAGATTTTCGTATTGCTCCTGTTACTTTCGTAAAGTTGTAGAATTAAATACGGAGAACCTCGCTCACTCTCATTGAATTTTTACTCTCCGAATTGATCTGTACTTCAGCGAGAATTTTCCGAAATATTCTGCAGGATTTATGGTCCAGGAAAATCAATCGAGCGATAAAAGGGTTAGGTTTCGAATCCTTCTTTCACTGGCACGAAAAATTAAATTTAGCCATTCCTCGATGCTCTGAACTCAAAGACTATTAAACTGAACGATCGCCCCCAGTCTAGCTTGCAGTGATGAAAGCGCACAATGATGAAAAGGAAAAGTTGCGCGACGTTTGGAAAAAGGGAGATGAAAAAGCAAGAAGGAACCACCTGTGAGTGACATGGAAAACCGAACTTCAACAATTGCCAAGTTTCGAAAGCCAGCCGGGGCCGGGCAACACCAATTGAAATACCTCGACGAAAATCTATTTGCAGTATATCACGGGAGTCTCACATATCACGCGAAAATTATCGACACGGTGGGCTTGATTTACTGTGCCCTTAACGTCAGAACCAACAGCAGATACTTGTCCTTTAAATATTTAAGAAAACGGTGCCGACAGCTCCGGCACAAATGAAAACGAAGAACTGGAAGTGCGCTCCAACCCTTAATTAAAGAGTCATTAACATTTAGCAAAACATTGAAAATCCACTTAAGCCGGTCTCGCAAAACATTCAAGTCTTCTCGACAATTCCCGTCACATCGGGTTAACGCGGAGCTTTTCGTCGGAATTACAAATGAATATTTATTCAAAAACTACCCTCACCGAGAACGCAGGAATTAATCGCGCACGGTGAGACTGACAAACGTCGTTCTCCGCGCACGAAAGAGATACAATACGAGTTATTTAATAAATAACAATGCTTTCACCACTGCGAACGAAGATGTTCAACTTCCACGTACCGCGGTACGATCCTCATCACAGCGATCTCTCTTTCAACCCTCCCCTGACAAATCCCACCGCAACGTCCGCCAAACAAATCATAAAAACAAATTCCCAGCTCCGCGGAGGATCTCCAAACACGACTAAACCATTCGAGCTATCAAATAAAATCTGCTCATCGTTGAACCGTCTATTTATCCGGCGGAAAGGTGTTCAAAGAAATCTCACCGGGACAACAAACCGAGGGAAAAAGAAGCAGGGGTGGCAGAGAGGAGAGAGGAACCGGTGCTCGTGAATCGATGTAACTCGAGTCATTCCGTTAAGAGAGTACACAGTAGTATTCGCCGTCGCGGGACAACGTGACGGGAAACAGCAGCGAAGGAGCAGCAGCGGGCCGGGAGGGGGATGAAGATCAACACACGGTGTTTCGTCGGTGGATCGGAGTTCTCGCTGATAAAAGCTGTGTTCCTCAAACATACCTGGAGTTTCGCGAGCCACCGTGTTCGCTTCCTTCGAGAAACGGTCTCCCTCGGCCGAGGGTGATTCGACACTATATCGCGCGCGCACCCGACGATATCATCCCCCTTTTTCTCTCCGGGCCGGTCCGCTCCGCCGACGATCACCGACTGCAGCGGGCGGTAGGTCCACACGGCGCTGCGACACTCGCAGTACACCGCGCTTCCTCGATCGTTAACGCGAACTCGTGCACCGGGAAGCAACACACCGAACGGCTACGCCGCGAAGAAACCCTCGGGTCTGCGGGGGGTCGTGCGCGCCCCCGCGTCTACCTCCGTTGCTCGACGTCTTCCACGGTGTCCTCCCCGGAGGGTATTCTCGCTGGGAAAGAGCGGGTCGGGCTGCCCGACACGGTTCGAACGGCGGACGTGCGGCACCTGCCCGGAGGAAGCTACAAATTCGACTACCGGTCGACGCCCGTCGGCCGCGCAGCACCCTCTCGAAAACACGGCGAGACGCGCGCGCATTCACGCGGGAGAAACGCGCTGCGCCCCGGCGTACAACGATACGGGGAACGCCGCGGAAACCGGTATTTTCGGGGGCGGAACAGGATTTTTTTCAACGCGACGGTTAAACAGAACTCGTTTCTTTTCGTTTCCTCCCTTGTTATTGCTGCCGGCCCGTACGAATCGAAGTGACGGCTTGTTTCAGATTTTTTTGTTTCGGCACTGTTGGGACTGCGGAGGTAGTAGTTTCGCGGGGAAGTTCGAAGTCGGTTTGTTTGCTCGCTGGAATCACTGTTGCGGCGAATTTTGGCGTGTGTGTTCTTGCGGATTTTCGAAGAAATTGGGAACGGCGTGTATTTGTTCGGGATTTTCAGCGTTAACGTTTCGGTTTTTGTTGCGGATAAAATGGAGAGAGGATTTGTTGAATAGAATACAATTCGTTTCGTTGGAGTTAAAGGGTAGTATTTTCTGTTTATTTCTTTTTGAAACGACGTGAAAGTGTGTTCGATTCCATCCACAAGATACCGCTCGTAGAACCATCGAGCGGGGGATTACGACAATAGATACGTTTCCAGGAAACGTCGGAACTCGGATGAAGAGCAAACACTTGTGTCGCTAGATCCACGGAGACCATGAGAGCGTACGGAAACATAGAACTCGATAGCCAGGAATAACTATAATGTCAAGATCCGGATCGTCCTCCGGATCGGCGATAGAAAAATGGCAGCGATACTCCGGCAGCGATTCCTTTAGGCCGCGCTTGCGGAAGGAAGGCAGGGGTTGGGCTGATCGCTTTGACGATATATGGGTAAGCAACAAGGCTTGCGGGGCGGCCGAAGAATAGGATCAAAGGGAGAGCAAGTGCGTGGCGAAGCGTCGAACGAGCCGAGTCGCAGCGAGGCGAAACCGAGGAGGAAGCGTCGGGAAAGGGGTGAAAAATTATTTCATCCGGCTAGAATCGATTATGTCCATGGAAGAGCGACGATGGAAATTCCGGTGACGCGTTGAGGGACGGGTGGAGGAGCAATGGAGACATCGGGGTGCGTTGCTGGCCAGTTCCTTTAAGAAGGGATTCAAGAGCACGCGTGCAGCTGGCGCAGCGGGGTGGGGGTGAAATGGGAACTCATAGCTTTCATGCATTCATGCAAGTATACGGGGACGATATGCAGCGAGCTCTGAAATATGGAATACATCGGATGGAAAGAATGGGACGATGGAGGGTGGCCGGTGCGCTGCGCAAATGTGAAACTGAAAGGAAACAACAGAAAAAGATGTATATTAGAAGCGTGCGTAAGCACGCGAGGGGAAAGGTGCGACGGGTGGTGGCGGTGGTTGCAGAGGGGCGAACGGGGAAATGACTCCAGTGCGCGTGACTGTGAGACTAACCACCACCGAACGTTCATCCAGCGAGACCGTCTCTGCGAAACTATCCCTCCTCCCGCTGCGTTTCCAACCCCCTCGGATACCATGCGTCCGTTTCCAACCCCCGTGTCCCGCCGCCCTGCGTCGAACCACGAAGAACCTTTGCGCAGTCTCCAAATCGAACATCCTGCCATTGAAAGCAGGAAAAGCCCCCGTGCCGACGGGCCGGGGGCTGCTTCCACAGGGATGAAACGTTCTGACACGTGAGAGTTTGACGGAACTCTCCTTGTCGATGAGATTTCTCGGCAGACGTGACTGCGGCAACCGGACGGGACAGTTCGGGAAACTGACCGGACGGTACGTTGAAAGCTCAGAGTCGAGCGTTTTTGATCCGATGCCCGGGATTACGGAGGATTGCGGATTTTAACGGGAATCGTAGATTTCCATGGAGTCGTTCGTTGATGCTGATTGATTGTACGGAGCTTCTGGGGATGGGCTGTCTTATTTCAGGCTGATTATCTGAATATCTTTGGTCTCGACGGTGAGGAATATCGAGAAACTCGAATAGTTTTGGAATAGGAATATTGATAGAAGGGTTTTTATCGTGATGAGACTATTTGAGATTTCTTGGGGGTTGTTTTTGAATGAAGGTTGCTTTGTATGAGAAACTTTTGGGATTAACCCTTTGCACTCGAGAGTTTTTCGCTAGAAATATTCAACACTCTTTGATAAAATATAGACGATGCTTGTTGCGACTAATTTAAATAACTTAATCGATACATTAAAGGACAAAACTATTCTAGTATCTAGAATTATTTAGCGTAGGTTAAAGTATTGTAAGATGAATGGTTTGTTGTGCGTGCGTAAGGGCGACCAGGTCGTATTGCGACGGACCGGCGCCGGGATGTTTGGAAAATAGTGTGACTGCGTTTTGAAAATCTCGAGTGGCTGAAAGAATACGAGGAAGAGTGTCTGGAACTGAGCGACTGGACCGTGAGAAAAGTGTGTACGTGACTGCGTAAGTTTTGACTATGGACGAAAGATGCGAGTGAGAAGGGTGCAAGGGTGAGAAAGACAGAGCGAATGGAGGTGTGTGTTAAAACAGACAGAGAGTCGTGTGTTGGCCTTCGTGGCATTAAGTTGTATTTTTACGTGTTGTCCATATTGTTTCCTTATCTCATTAAATACATATATTTATTCCTAATTCTCTTTTTACCGAAGATCCACCTTTTCACTATCTACAATAATAGTAGCCCCACTATAAACTTCGGGGCTCGTCCGGGATCACTATACTATTTTACTTTGATATTTCACATAGTGACGCGTTATACAAAGTTCAGTGTTAAACATCAAACTTTATAATTGTACTGTATCAAACTAAATGGTGACTCACCTCCCGAGTGCAAAGGGTTAATATTTTAGATTTGATTACTCGAGTAAGTTATCCGGGAGTGTTAAAATGTTGCTACTCGGTTGTTTCGCGAATGCCGCTGTTAAATAACAAATAAACATTGTACGTTAGGGACGATGAATATCAGATTTTATTAAGTTTGAAGATTCTCGCTATTCACCCCCTCGAGAACTCTCTTAAATTGCGCTTTTCAAGTTTAACTTAACCGAGTTAGCAGTTAAGAACTTCTGCCGCTGAAATTCTCCTATGAAATATTAACAAAAGCATCGAATAAGTTATCGATGGGAATGGTAATTCGAAAATCTTGAGTACACAACGCGACTAAACTTTTATTGAAACTTCTTGATTGGTAATTCGCTGGGGGATGATTATACTAGAATTATTTGTCAATTAAATATATCCTTTCTACGCGAAGGTAAATTTGAAACTTCCAGCGAAATGTGTAAATTATACTAATTATGCTTCTCGGTTTCGTTACGTCGACGATGCATATAGAAAATTTCACTGGAACGAATTCGGTTATGTTAAAAACCCCGCGGGCGTATTTACGTTCTTTCGTTTCGATGCAGTAAAATATTTCACTTGAAACTCGTATGACGAAATATCAGAAACATTATTTATGCTGCGATATTTATCGTGCGATCGTACGAGAGCCCGATGCCAGAATTCATTCTCGATTAAATGGTAAACAGAACTTGACCTCTCGCGTAATTTGCGCTAGAACCAAGATAAGAATTTTCTTCTCGGTTTTTGCTATTGCATTCGAACAAGATGTATTCCAATTGATAACCAAATCTACAGGAGACTACGCCACTGAAGCACGTAATGGAACGAACTGCATAGAATGCAGCAAGATGAGCAAGATGAGTGCATAAAACTTTGATGGTGCACTTGCGATTATTCTAGAGTATGATCCTAATGAAGCATTTTCTACTGTGTTAAATTACACTCTGAATATTTGAATAATGAAGGGTAGATTAGGTTTACTAAACGAATTTGGAAGATGTATAATAAATACTTTCTAAGAATAAAACTGTTAAGTTTATCCTTTACAATTGAACATCATTCTGTCTTCCCGTTCGACATCGTAAAAGAAGTGTGACATCATGGAGCAGCAATGCCGAGTGCCATGATTCAACTTGCACTTTGGTTTTGTGGCAAATATTTCCGTAATTACTTCAGAAGTTTTTAATCATTGCTAATACAATAAAATTTCTGCGATGAAAATACCGAGCTAGTACACGGGAATGTAGGAAAATTTCGAACGGCTACAAACTATTTATCCCAATTATATCGCGAACGAAATTCGGTCCGTGATTAATTAATTTTCCACGATGAAAGATCGTCCGCTATTCCATTATAACCATCGGGCGAAATTATAATATTAATTAAAAATAAGAATTTAAATAATATACGATTATTATCTTTAAATGACCTCCACTCGAAGATTATAGGAATACCCAAAAATTATTAACAATACCAACGAAAAACCAAGTTTCGAAAGTTTTTAACACAAGCACGCTGGGGCGGTTATTTAAAAGTTGGCTGACTATTAAAAATTTGACGGCTTTTAAAAGCTGAAGGGTCTCGGGGGTGACCTTTAACCCATAGACCGGCGAAGCTTTTTAAAATAGCGATTTTTTTCTTCGGTTTAGAATATACGCGGAATATTTTACCTCGATCGACGATCGAAAATGGAAAACGGGTTCTGTTAGTGTTTCGGAAAAAAAGGGCAGGCGATTTTTCTTTGTTTTTGAGGTCGCCGAAGCGATTATATGCATTCACCGCGGCATTCTGCTTCCTTTTACGTCACGTTCGGCGCCACAACGTTCTCGTTCCGAGTACGTCCCCACTCTGTCTCTCGCGCACGTCTTCATTGTCCATTTCGCTCCGACTCACGGCAACGTCAGGCCAGTAACGACAGAGAATTTCGCTAAGTGTTCAGTGTTCTACTGGCTACGTAGTGGAGTGGGCGTTTTACATTGTGTAGAAAGCGAAAATATTTCGGTGAGTTCACCTTTCGTTCATTTCCATAACTACTCTGCTTTATTCAGAAAAAACCGTCCGTCAATTATTTACGTGGAACGTGATGGAAATAACACGTTGTCAATCGTTTCAACGAACGACGCAATTGTGTGTATGGTGTCTGCCAAGGTCATACGATTGGAACATCACTATTTCAATTTGACGAGCATATTTCAATGCCTGTTAACGATTGAAATGGTTAAGAGTCCAGTTATATCGCGGCGCGATCGTCGAGGTACGAGTGTCTGGCTTGTTGCATGACGCATTTGAGGTTAGGCGCACCTGCTCCAAGGATTGGAGCGACGTGTTAGGTTAGAAAGTGCGAGTCAGACAAGGACGACCACTCGGCGGGAATTTGGCGGTCGAATTTGAAATCGTGCGCCGGATTTAAATGTGTTCGACTTGTAATTCCATTTATTATTCACTGGCGCTTTACACACATGGTTTTAAACCTTTGCGGTCCGAAGTGCTCTTGGTTTCTCACTTTGAGGTTCACGTCGACGTTAGTTTATTCAATTATAGCTTAATATGACGCTCTGTTTATTTATTGAAGAATATTTGGGAGAAATTGAAATTTTACCTTTAAATGGTACAATTGTGATACTACAAATAAATATAGAAAAAATTGTTAAAACAGGTAGAGGTTGCAAGGAAATAGAATGTCGAGTCTGACTCGAGATAGGACTGCTAAGGGTTAAACCTTTGCGGACGAGTGTCGACGTTTCGGCAAAATGAAATTTTCATGTTCCAAAAACTCGCAAGCAAATGTTTTAGTTACTCGAACAAGAGGTCAGCACGCAGTTTCCTTTCTTTTCTATTATTTAACCAGTTAACTGTGTTTGACGAGTATACACGTCATCTTAAAAGTCTTAATGTTGCTAGCTTTTTCAACGATGGATTATTTATTTTTTGAGACAAACATGTAATTCTTCTTCGTTTCGCTTTAGTTTTTCGTTAAGATATATTTTAAGTGCGTTTGGCCTGCGTTTAACGAGTATACACTTCATTATTTGATTTTACTGCGCGCGCAATGAGAGATTTTTCAAACTAAATTCCACGCTTGACTGGTTAAGCACCTGATGTATAATTTAGCTGTGTTTGCTGAGGGTTTTGTATATTCGAAAGAATCTTTGTTCGCAAAGGGTTAAACGGCTCCTAAGGTTTTTCTCAGGCGACCCCGTTACATTTTTTGCTATTTCATTGTTTCCTTGTCGTAGCTCATATTTAGGTAAATTTGTAAATATTCTGTATACTTTTACAACCGAAATGTAAATACCGTTCGTTAATGTTGAGTATTTCTTTGTTCCAGAAAATGTTTTCCAGTTCTACGCTGAGTGCCCTGTTAGGGGCGATTCTCGTTATCTCTTCGATACCAAATGCAACGTCTTACAGAAGTGAGTCAAGCTGCGATAATACTGTTTGTCTTTTAATTCGTATAGCTTTCTTTGAAAATATTATGTAATAATGTCCATGATACTGTATACCAGTAAACTAATATTAGCAAAAACAGTTCAGAAAATGGCGAGAGTACAGACGTTGAAGTAAATTGGAATTGCTACAAGAATTTCTTAATTCTTTTATGAAAAGAGCACAAATTTAATAAATGTAACATTGCGAACCGATCGAAATCGCAACAGTCGGTTGCATTGTTGAAAGGGCCGATTGGCGCAATTTGCCTCAACCTTCGTCGTAATCGCTCTCTTTGGCCTCATCCGCTTTCTAATCTTGTTGAACAATGAAAAGGAAACCGCGATACGGACCAACGGATTGAAGGAGCAGTTATCTTCAATGTCACACTATATCACTCAATGGAATTCCCATTATTCTTTCGTTTCCGTTTAATTTAAATGTACCTTCCACGCTTTAACATCGAAATTTGTCTCCAATCTGTGAAATCCATATTCGAACCATACGAATAAATTGATTGAAATGTTTGAAATCTGAAATTTGACGAAAGGGTTGAAGATTCCTGGGGACTTGGATTTTTTCTCACGCGATCTACGTTTATCTTGTCAGAATCACGTTCCAGTAGAAGTTTACGTAATCAAGCAACGTTTGTTTGAAGGCCGCACAGAGACACCTTTTTTTCCAGACGTATTCAAATTCGCTTTAACGGCCGAGGAATCTCGTTAATCGCTTCCACCGAGTTAACAATTATTGCTCCACCCTTTTCGTGCTATCATGCGATTTATTCGCCGCTTTTGCGCAACAGCAATAAAACTGCCCGTCTCCGTTTTTGTTTCTGTTTTATGCGCCGTGAATCTTCACCCACCCCTTCCGTGCTTTTTGTCTAGGGGTAATTGTTTTAAGTTCAATACCCGTGATTTATCCGACGATACGTAAAATTCGAAATTCCACCACGAATAATTAAAACTATTCATAGAGCGGTTCGTACGCGTAGTAAAGGCTGGCTGATGTGATTCGCTTATAAATTATCAGCCTCGCTATTCAAGAAGTTGATTGCTTGTGATTATCGCGTAGAAATTAAGTGTAATTATTATCGCGTGTTCAATAGTTAGGAAGTATTTTCTAAAACTTCCTAACAAATTTTAAATTAAAATTACATTTAGCTTTGTTGTTTAATTTATCTGCGAATTATCGATAAATTAGTTTCGAACAATGTCGTCTATATTTCATCAGAAAATGTTCAAATATTTCTACTGAGAAACTTCCGAGTGCAAAGGGTTAACACTAGAACTACCGTACCAGTCAAAATGACTGGTTTCGATTTTTTTGTTCAGCAACTATTGATATCTTCGAAGCATTGAATATTCGAAATGATTTTGAAAACAAGTAGCTTCATTTGAGTACTATAATGAATGTCTGAGGAAACTGAAAATAATCTATTGTTACAATTTTTATGGGAATTCCATATTAATCGTATTAAATGCTCGGTAGGTATAGTGTTAACATTCGCCTGTAAACGTAATTTCCTCGATTTCAACGTGACATCTGAAAATTTACGTGCACATGTAAGAATCGATCGTTGACATTTTTAAACGGGATCTTCGTTTCGAGTGAGTCGTTGAGTTTAATAACGCCATCCTGTCCGCATCTGTTAGCTCGGAGTAAATTCGACGCGTTAATGCGATATAAAAGATTAGAGGAACTTCGTTGCCGTGAATTAGTTGGCTCGGACCCTCCTCCGCCTGATTCGCATTAAGTTTACACACATCAGCTTTAATCCGGATCCTAATTAACTCCCGCGAAGGAAGAGTAACCGTGTTTCGTTGATCGCGAAAAAGCCCGCAGCGTTTCGAACGCAATCAGAACTTCGGGAGAATAATTTTAAAAGCTTGCAAGAACTTGGCTTATCGATCTGGGAAAAAACTTCACCCCGACCACGTTCGAATCGTAAAGTTGCTGACGGAATCACGATGAAATTAAATATACCAATTATGCTGATTCTTATACTGCTTCGATCGTTTCGTCTTCTGTCTTCCTGCACATTTTTTTTCGCTGAACTTCGTACAGCGAATATCCAAGGAATCATATTATCGTTGAAGCAAAGGTAGCGAGGATATGTCTTGATTAAAGGTTAATTAAAATTACGTAAGTCGCGCGGTTCTCACGGCGCCGCCATTGTTACTGCGAATAATCCAATAACGTTTGAAATTACTTCTTACGATCAATTTGTTATTTCCAGGCATGTTATTGCGGTGGAATTATTTCGCTGAAATTGTAGTGCGTTTGATTAATCGCATGTAATTAATTGGTTGACCTTAATTATGACAGTCGAATCAATATTGACGCGAAATGTTGCGATCCTAAATGCATTTACAGTTTACTGCTCCGCAAGAAATAAACTGTAGCATCATTCCTGCATTTAGATGACAGAAGCTGTATTCAAATTATTTTCTTTAACAAATTTCAACATATTTATTTTTTTCTCTAGCATCGTCACCGGTTTCTTAACTTTCGAATTTTTAATTAACTTTTAATGACGATTGATCTCACCTGGATTATCCTCAATGTCCAACTAACACAATAGATATTTTTCGAACTAAAGCTCTTTGCCTTTCAAATATTCCATGACCCATAAACTCCCAATTTTCATTATCAGTCCACACAATGGCTGCATCGCGCGCATCACCGAACCAACAAAATTGACACTCTGTAAATATGTAAATCTATTTACGTCACTTAGGCACCATAGGTGTTTAGACACCCTTTGTACACCCTTTATCGCTTAACCTTCTAATTCTGTTCATATAACAGTTGCCTACATTCATACTGTTCCTATGAAACTGCGTTAAAATTAAAATCAAAGGTAATCAACCGTAATAATTCAGTTCATTGAAATATACAATGTGCCCTATCATTAATATTCCCTGAAACCACGTCCCAAGTGACCAAATTATACTCTGCACTCTCCACTTACGTACTCGTGCTGAGTTTCCCCATATTTCTCGATTAAACTTTCAAGTAGGTGATATTCCATGTCATAAACGATTACACAGAAATGTATTTTAAAGTTTCGATGAGATTCAATAAATATTAGAAATCAGGCAAGCGCAGTTAACACATTGCGTACCGGCTAATTTTCAGAAAACTTGTGCGAATTTTCAGAGGTCAACTTATATCACTATACATAGAAAAACTCAGATATTATATTGTCATGTAATATATTTTAAATAGATAATCAATTCGAATCAAGTTTAATATTTCTTTAAATGCTGTGGTAAATAGCAAAGTTGCATAGCTAAGTGTCTTTATAAAAACGAGATTTATCGTTACCAGTACGCAATGCGTTAACTTCGGATCTAATGAAAATAATCAACATTTTTATTTTTGAACGTTGGACAAACAGGACAAGAATTTCCGATGTCTCCTGAACATTCGATCATTAGTTACAATTATTCAGATTTCAAATATACAAATTTCAAACATACAAATTTCAAACAACTTCCCCTCGACATGTTTTTTTAATGCTGTGGTAATTAGCGAAGTTGCATAGTTAAGTGTTTTTACATAAAAACGAGATTTCCCATTACCGGTACGCAATGCGTTAACCCTTTGCATTCGAAAGTTTTTTACTGGAAATATCCAAGATTTTCCGACAAGATACAGACGACGTTGTTTGAACCTAATCTAATGATAATTCACAGATAAATTAAGCAACAAAGATATTTCACTTAAATATTTCACATAACATACAAAATTTAATTTAAAGTACTGAATATTTAAGTTCATAGTTTTACTGTATCAAATCAAATGGTGACTGAGAGTCACCTCTGGAGTGCAAAGGGTTAAAAAGCCGAGTAGCGTAGATGTGCAAGGGTTGATTAACGCCTTCTAATTGTTCGCGCGTTAATTTCGTCCCTGTTTGTCCCTGAATACTGAACCTATAAGGGTTTCTCGGCGGCGAATCATTAGCGTAGTTTTAATATTCCTTCTTCGTATTCGACACCCCTTTCTCCCTTCTCCTCGTGGCTCTCGTAGACGCGGTCGGTTATGGGTAACGCGATGCTGGGCGTTCACTCTGCAGCTGCTTCTGTCTGCCCCTCTCCCCCCTGCCATCTCTCTATCTCTATTTCTATCCACCTGCCTTCCTCTTCCTGACCTTCTCCTTCTCCTGCTGGTCGGATAATTGAGAATCGATGGGGTTATATGGGGATGACACTGCGGTGCTCGAATAGAATTACGATTAGCGCCGTTACATCGATGGGAGGATAACGTCAGCTAAATGCACAATGGACGTTTACATACTAGGGGCCGGGAAGTATCATTTTCAACAGTCATTTGTCCGCTATTAAAATGTGCAAGTTTTCATCCACGCGTCATCGATCGATCGCAAATGTTTCTAATTTACTCGAGAAACGCCGGAATCTTAAATACCGACGGTAATACTCTTACGCTGTAAAGGAAAGTAATACTATTTAGAAGGGCTGATACCGGTGTCGTAATTTGAGTAATGCTTAGATCGTTAATTGCGGTCGAGTATCGTATTTGGCTGTTAACAGAGTTACATTTCACCCGCTAAACAACAGGTTTCCGTAAATTTAATTACATTAGGCTCAGATGCGCCGCGGCTGTCCTGCGTTTCGCTTGGAACTTCCCGTAGCCGGGAGGTCTTCAGTTAAGGTCACTTAAACGTAAACATACTTATTCTCTCTAATAGCTTCGCGTTACCGAGTCAATTAACTTTGCGTGTACACTTCTGCTGATACTCTGCGACCACCGGAGAATCTCGTTCTCTCTTCTCACGCATCTATACTGTATCAGATGAAGAACAGAGACACTCATAATCATATTCCAAACGCTTCGATACTTCAATCGTGGAATACTCTTCCTCGATATTACTGTAAAAATTCGGTATTCAAGTTTACCACGATTTTACTACGGCTCGATTAGACAATTTCGCACGTTTTTACGAAATTCCCGCAAAAAGTTCCATAAAAAGTGCATTCCAATTAAATTCGATACGCGGTATCAAGAAGAGTGGCTCTTAATACTCGCGCTTCGCAGAGTAAAGAGTTTCCTCCTTCTGGAGAACAGATATAGCGCCGTGTCTAATGTACGAAGAAAATATGAAAGTATTTTATCGCGACCGTATAAAGTCCCAGAACAGTAACGACGCGCAAAAGTCCGGCGAACTGTGCTCCCCGGCCGGCGCGCTTCGAACTTCAGCATAAAACCACGATCGTGTAAATATTTAATGGGAGCACTTTGCCGAAGTACGCATCGTTTCCGGTGTATACGGCTCGCGGTCCTCGCGAATCAAGGTATCGGAATGATCGAACGTCGCAGGCTCAGATATAAATTCCAATTTATGACACGTACCTATGCCGGGCCGAAGTTTTAATGAACCGTGTCCAATCGCGAGCGGGTCGGGGCAGAGATAACATCATAGCTTACTGCTCCAACTTTCGGCCACTAAACGCGAAACTCACAAGGACTTACTGCCTTTGCCCGCAGAATATGGGAGGACATGCAAGGACATCGGGTGCATGCGGGACCAGATCTGCGTGATCGCCGAGGATCCATGCTCGATCCACCAGCGGGATAATTGTGGCAGTTACCCGACTTGCGTCAAGGCTCGTCCAGGAGGTAAGAATGCAGTTGACCTATGCTTTAACCCTTTGCGGTCCGAATCTTGGTTTCTGACTTTGAGGTTCACGTCGACGTTAGTTCATTTAATTACAGTTTAATATGACGCTCTATTTATTTATTCAAGAATATTCGGGGGTTACTGAAATGTTACCTTTAAATGGTACAATTGTGATACTACAAATAGATATAGAAAAAATTGTTAGAACAGGTAGTGGTTGCGAGGAAATAGAATGTCGAGTCTGACTCGAGATAGGACTGCTAAGGGTTAATGAAAATGGCACCTGAAAGTATGTTCACAGCAACGATGATTAATTTCTAATTAATAGAATTCGATTCTCAAATAGGAACCGTGATAAAATGGTTCCACAAGATTCGGCGAGAACCGGCCCCGCGAGAATCATTTCGTCTTTAACCCTTTGCAGACAATGGTTTTCTGTTTATTTTACTTTTTCATTAATGTTAGATAACAGACTGATCGTTGAAGTAAAAGAATGAAAGTCGAGAGTGATGAAATTGTAACGAAGCCTTCGTTTTCAAATTATTCACGAATGAAAATCTCTTTGAACTCCAATGACCAGCTAATAGCGGCGTGTTTGAGGTAGGTCAACACGAGCGCTGACAGTGGCGCAGCGCGAGCGAGAACCAGAGATCTGCCTTGTTAGTACGGAATTTTTGACCGTTTCTAACTTGAAAAGAAACTGAAATCACAGTTTCGTTGCTTTTAATAGTTCTTTTATTTACATTTTTATTTATTACTGATCTTTCAACTGAACTCTACTTGAATTCAATTGTATGCACTGGGAGCGGTTAACACTAGAACTACCGAGGATTTACTACGACTGATATGTAATCCCTATCAAAATTCTAATAGATTGTTTTCAGTTTCTTCAGACATTCATTATAGCATTCAAGTCAAAGCTATTTATTTTCAAGATTATTTCGAATATTCAATGCTTTTAACCCTTTGCACTCGAGAGGTGACACTCACTTACCATTTAATTTCATACAGAAAAACTATAAAATTTGATATTTAATATTATACTTTGTATAATGCATCAATTTGAGAAATATTGAAGTAAAATAGCTTCGTTTCTCAATGTACGTGTAATTTCTCGTCAAGTTAGTTTCACAAAATATCGTCTTTATCTCATCAGAAAATGTTAAAATATTTCTAATGAGAAACTTCCGAGTGCAAAGGGTTAAGATATCAATGATTGTGAAACAAAACAATCGAAACCAGTCATTTTGGTACGGTAGTTCTAGTGTTAAATATTCTACAAAATGCAATTTTCATGCGGTTCATTCACTAGTTAGACGCGTTTCATTAACACTTTCGCGATCGATGAAGTGCCTTTTTATATGTTACATTGAGAATCGGTGACGTACCGCAGCACCTTTCTGAATTCAATATTGTTAATCGATGACGTGCCACAGCGTCTTTTTATATCCTCAGCTGGGAAGTGATGACGCACTGTTACGTCCTTTTATATTTACACCTGGGAATCGATGACGCGCTGCTACGTTCTTTGGTATCTAAGACTAGAAAACGATGACGCATTGCCGACTTGTTTTTCATAATTACCGTAAACAGCGTGGTTCTACGTCATCAAGTTTGTAACCGAGTAACATAGTACGCTGTGTCTTCGCGGTTCTAATAATTACAGTCTACGAACAACAAACTTCTGCGTCGCAAACGAGAACTAGTGATACAGTATACCCCAACTTCAAAGTCCAAGTAATTGTAGTCTGTTAATATACACGCGTTCCTGTATTTCGCAGTTTGCACATGTGATGGATGCATTAAGATCCCCATTGAATCCAACTGATAAAATTTTTAAAACTTCGAAGCGTGTTTTCCTGTGTTGCTGTTTATTTTAGAGACAATGCTTGATTTTCTCGCTAGACATGCCACGTTGTTGCCGTTAAGTGCTCTTTAAAATTTCCGGTCACGAAACCTTTAACTCCATATTTTTCCGTGGATAATTATATTGTCGTTAAGCCTTGAACGCCTACTAACAGTAAGAATTCTTTCAAAATATTGTAGAATTTAAATTTCTATGAGCTTGAAAAGTTTTCGAACAAATCGTGTGGAAATTTAATTTCTAATAATATATTAGTCAACCGTGAATAATTGTATGTTGACTGGATTATTGCATTTTCTGTGAGTCGCTTGTAACGTATAAATTATTGATTGCTGCATTGTTCTTCAATCAAATTTTTTCAAAATATTTTAAAATTGAAATTTCTATGATGAAGTTTGAAAAGTTTTCGAACAAATCGTGTGGAAATTTAATTTCTAATATATTAGTCAACTGTGAGTAATTCTATGTTGACTGGATTATTG